AAATACCATACATTAATTTAGAAACATTTAATGTGTACTTGATACAAGAAAACTGCAGTTGAAGTGCATTTCATGATGCAATCCATTTACCCCTTTCCCTTAAGGTCCCCATACACTGCCGTGGTGGCGTTAAATTTGTACACACGTATTTTAATAGGAGTTCGCACACTGCAGTGGTAATTGAGCCGCGGTAAAATATCACCGCTGCGATATTTTTAAAAACTGCAGCATGCTCGATTTCACCACCACCGCGCAGCGGTATTTCAATTGACTTATCAAATATATGCTAATAGTACCTATACTATCTAATATATATGATGTATATTAGTCTAGACTTCGATTATTTCCTATAAACTATTCAAGTTATAGTTTAATATATTATTTAACTTAATTAAAAATAATTCATATAAAAATAATCAATACAATTATATAAATATATATATATATATATATATATATAATGAATATAATATGTACAATAGTATAAGTACTTAATATTGTACTAACATAATATATAGATAAATCGTCAGTTTATCAATGACATGGGAATTAATTAATTAACTATAAAATTATTGTATGTCATATATAAATATATTATGTTTATACTGGATAAAAATCGCCACCGCCACCGCCGCAATGTTTTCAGGTCTGCGATTTTAATATCGCCCCCGTGGCAGTGTGTGGGTTAACCTTTATCCTTAGTTTACTCACATCCACAGAATGGTAAAATAGCAGAGTCAAGTCACTCTGAGTTGTTGAAAAACCACATAGTTAATTTATAGTAATATTGCATTATGGACGAAGCGGAGGATGCACTGGTTTTTTCGACAACTATTTTGGTATAGGCGTAAATACTCATAACTATTTGAAGTATTCCGACCTCTAAAAGTTTCACAAGTTTTAACTTTCATTGACTAAGCCTTAGGTTTTCTAAAACTTTTTTGACTCTAGAACTAAGATTATCTCATGGCATCCTTAATAAACTTGATAATTAATTTTAAGATAAAAATCAATAAAACAAAGAAAAATATTTTTGATTAACTAAATAATGATTGACGGCGTACGACCTGAAAGGTTTAGCCACTAAGGTTAAAAATATCCATGTGCATAAATCATGTCTCGTTGTGTCTATAATGTTTCTATCAACAGGTTTTTTTTTACATAAATGAAGGTCCAGAACGAAAAAAAAAGGTTCTAATTTTATAATAATCCCTGTTCAAAATAAATAATTTGACGTTTTTACTATTTAGATAAAATAACAGCTTTGAAATGTATTCGTTTATATTTTGAGCGTTATTTTTATTTTATCTTTAATTTTTGGTGAAATTAATTAATTTCACTGTTATTATATGATGGAAATATTTCCTTTGATTAATATGTATAAGAATCTACGAAAATGTACAAAACATCAAAATTATTATGTTAGAATAATACGGAGAAGTAGCAACAAGTATTATTGTTAGCAATAGTTATTTTAATGCATTGGTGTACAACGCAACATACGACATTATTAGACCTACATTTTACTATCTTGGAACACACAACTATATGAAAACAAAATAATAATTCTTTGACCATTGTGAAAAACGATAAGGGACGACGACGAAATATGAAAAAGTTCTGGACAAATGCGAACGGTCGCCGACAAACATTTGATCGAATTTTTATGATAAAATTTATTCAAATGGGCCCACTGCAATGATGAACGTCAGCAACAAACCATTGACATTTATGATTATCCCTTTAATAATCGGATTACGATTTTATGAAGGGCCATATGATAATAATATTAATAATATAAACAATTATTTCATAAATGCCGTTGGATGTATAGTTTATCATTGTTTACCATACGCGCCGAGTATTCGGATCAAAATTTAAAAATGTCAACATATTAAAACTCGAATATTATAATTGTACAATGAAATATATTTTCATGTTTATAATTAGTTTCAATACTTCACATTATTTTAATACTCGTAACAATCACCATTCGATAGCATACCGTATCATTCTCGTATACGACCCATATTTATTTCATAATGTGTCGTAATATGTAAATACTGTTAATTGTTATTGACTCCTGTTCTCAACTTATATTTATTTTTATTTGTTTCTGATTATCTAAATATAGTAAATATAAATATATATAAATATAGTATTTGAAATAGAATAAGATATTTACGGTAAAATGGCAATAAAAAAAAAAAAATTGAAAAAAAAAACGTAATTGGTATTAGCGATGAATTTCTTGTAAGTCAACAGTACGCAATTTTTTTGACTCACGACCTTCAAATGTATTAATTTCGATAAGACAACACCCTATCAATATAACATAAGCATGTACACAATGCATATATTGTACTTTTTCATTTTATGTGACTAATTACTGTATCACTGTTCTGCGGAGAAAAACTTTATACCATAACTAGTGTGTTAAGCCAAGATTTAACTGAATAAATCGATGGTGCAATAACACAGTTTTTTGTTAACATATTTCAATAGTTTTATTGATAATCATCGAAAAGATATTACTTACTGGAGTCATATATGAACTATAAATGCTGACAATTCAATTTTTTTTACATATTCTATATAAATATCGTTCATTAACAGGCATATTATTTAAGGATCGATACTAAAGTCGAACGCATTTCTAGCAGTAAAACGAAGCCTTGAGTTTAACACTCTCACACAACGATTTGTTGATATATAGTACGATACTAGCGATTTTATCAATAAAATATTAATAGCATACAACTAATTTGTATTGAGAAATATATTTTGTAGCATTTAAGAACACTTTGTAACGAAATTCAATAATATTAAGACAACTCGGCATACTTTAAAGTTTTTATGCAAATTATGAAGCACAACATTTTCTTGTCTTGAAGTTTTTTGTTATTGTCTTTTCTTTTACAAGAACTAGTTTTAATGAAGAAAAAAAAACACGCGAATCACCCTCATACGAAATATGTTTCGCATTCTATTATGATGTTATGCAGTAAATCAATTGATGGTTTACAATTCAACTTTTAATCAATTTTTCACTGGGGTTCTATTCTAAAAAGAAACATATTCTATTGTATCTATTCAAAATTTGAAAAAGCTCACATGTCTGCTAAGTGCGGTAAGTTTTGAAAGTTTTACTTGTATAAAAATGCTTCTAATGGCTCGAAACTTGTAAAAAGTCTAAAGTTTCAGGAATTTTGGTAAAATAAGCAGCATTAAAAGTATTTTAATAGTAGATCGATAACGAGCGTCAAAGCATGATTGGTCAACTGACGACCAAATCTCTTTTTGGTATTGAATGAATACTATTTATTATTTCCGCAAAGCCAATAGTAGTTCATTATCTGTTTATTACTACCGGTTTAATAATCATTAAAAAAAAAGTTTTGTTAAGCTTTATTTTGAATTTTCTTTCCTTTTCATTATTTACCTAATATCGATAATAATTTATTATAATTTTTGTGTTGGCTTTAATTGTTGGTAAGAGCAAACTCAATTATGACTCTTTCATTAGTTATTCACTAGTTTCAACTAGTGAAAAATAAATAAAAAACATACAATTTTATCTGAACGGTTACCAAAAGATTTTGTTCAAAACCTGTATAATATTAATTCGAAAAAAAAAACGTGTAATTGTCGATCATTACTTTTTAGCTTTTGGGCGAATTTTGAGACAATACAGAGGTACCTGGTAATTCAATGCTATAAATACATAACAACCTCAAATATATGACCCATCAAAAAAATATTACGAGTTAAATATTATATAGCTAAGCGAAATTATTCCTGTTTTATTATTTATATATTTATAAAACGTAACCCTATTTAAAGTTTTTCCTCACATTAAATATTGTACATTTTTATTGAAGTACCTGCCTACTCATCACTGATGTTTATAAACTTATACACATATATTTTATATGGTTTTATTATTTTTTTTTTTTTTTTTGTTTCTTTACAATGTTTTTATAATCTTACAACTGCTGCGTATTTTATATTACACACGACAAATATTTTCAGTTTATGTTTATTTTTAGTTGTAAAAGCGTATTCATTGTCTCTGGATAATTAATATATTTCGTTACGCGCAAAAACTTTTAGAAAACTGTGTAATTAGTGAACCTAACTTGAGATCGAGATTAAAGAGTTGAAAGGACAACAGATTTCCAAACTCAATCTATGTCTTAAGGCTTTAGATATTGTCCTCAATTGTTTATTTTAAAACACAAGTATTTATAGAAATGTGATACAGCGACATATTCAACCAATTAAGTGTTTAACCAGAATGAAAACATTTTGGTCTGCCCGTTTACGAAATTGGTAAGGGTGAATACAGTTTACATTTTATAAGGAAATTACTTACAAAACACTGACTTTTGATTCCTCCAAGCTCTTTGTTTATGGTGAACTTTAATGTGAAATTCAACTTTTCTGTGTATTTCCTTAAATTTATCCTTTTACAAATAATTATCTTCTCTTCAATCGATTAAATGAGATGTTACAACTTGAACGACATGATATTGACACGAACTTAAAATTTGTATTATATATATATATATATATATAAAATACTTTATGCACTTATAATATTTTAGGATTACATTTAATTATAATTCTGAATTTCATTGATGAAACAGGAAAACTGATACCTATGATATTAAAACGTTTATACAATAGCATACCAGCTGTGTGAAATAATTGAAAAGTTTCATTAAATTATAATATTACTATAATTTTACGACTATAATATTTAAAATTAATATCTGAATCTTAATTATGTTAATCAAAATGACTTGCCAACGCAATGTTAGTCGATATGTAAAATGTATTGTCCAAATTTGACTGGCAGGAGTCTCACCGATCGTATTTGGCTTTCAATGACAATTTCTATCTGATAAACGATAAATTCTTGAGTTTTTGGAAAAACATTGCTTAAAATTATTTCTTATTATCACGTTTTAATGTTTTGTGTTATTATTTTTTTTCAGTCTGACGAAGAGCCCATAACACACAAACGGAAATACTTAGCAGACGACCGCAGTGACTCGGGCAAGGATTTGAAAAAAGTAAGGATATCTTCATTGTTCATATATCATTATAGTTATTGCAAAAATCGTCTATATTGATTTTTTTTTTTTTTTTTTTGTGCAAATTAAAATGTATACATACACACCGTTTTTTCACTCACCACAAAAAAATAAATAAAAAAATTATAGCATTCGACAAGAATTTTAGATATTTTTGCTATCCACCAATCTCCAACTGTCTGACCATTGCGGTCGATAAGGATGAAGTTATTACTAGAATTAAAATAGACTATGTATGTTTTTTTTTTCTTTCGTATATTTTTATTGTCAATACATTTATTATACACATTTTTTCCGACTTAAAAGCAAAATGTTAAGATATTTTCTTCTGGAACGTTTTTATATTTATCTGCGTTTGACATCCCCGGATGGGTACAAATAATGGAATAATAGTACGGATTTTAATCAGAAAAATGTGTGTTTCAATATTATTATTTTACAACGCACTGAACTCAACCATAATGGTCGAGATTTCCTTGTTTTTTATATACATAGAATACACTTCGAGGTGACACGAAGAGTTAATATAAAATGCAAACATTAATTAAATTAAAAATTATGTAGTGAACCGTCGGATGACATTATTCTAGAAGTGAATAACATAATATCTTCTAATTAATCCCGGGTACAGCAAATATTCTGTATATTATTGGTAGTTTTTTTTCATTTATATATTTTTTTAATCGCTATAAATAAGACAACATCTATAAATAAGTATAGTTTTTGTTTTATTTTTTGACTTTAAATGTCAACGTATTTTTAGTTTTTTTTTATAAGTGTAAATTAAATTAGAATTTATGTACATCATGAAACTTACTCAATTTATTTGGAGCATAATGTGATGTGACGTCAATACAGAGTCGTCATTCTCTAAAGGAAGCCACTGAAGATACAAACAGTAAAGTTTTACACTTAAATTAAATTATTTTAAAATAGCAATGGATTATTATAAAACATTATTATTAAAGGGAATCAAAATCAATTATGTATGTGATATTGTTTAATAACAGTAATTATAATTAAATGTATTGCAACAGTTTGAATAAAATCCATTTACTATATTATCCATATGGTTTTCATAATCATACTTCAATAGTATGCTTATTTATATAGTATGACAAACTTATTAGGTGTAAAATGTATTTGAAATTCTTATCGCACTAGTTTTTATAATCATACATATATCATTTATATCATAAATATAATTCATTATATGAAATATGAGATTTATTTGATATATTAACTATGACAAAATCGTTCTTTGATTTTCATTAATTTTCTATAATTTCCAGTGATACGATTTTACAATGGTTCTTTGTGTACTTCTCAAGACCATAAAACTTATAATGATATGAATATGACGGTACTCTCTAAAAGAAGGTTACCCACATTATAGTTTCTTTAATTTGCCGACTTAAAAAAATCAAAATTTTTACTCATACATTTTCAATATTTTCAACATTTTTCAATACTTTAGACATCAAAATCAGGTTTTTAAATTACAAATTTGTACAATGAACAACATTTAGATATTAAGGCCCTCGCTCGATTTTGGTCAATAATTCTGTGATACTCTGGAATATTACTCAGTATTGCCTTTTCTACCTGAAATTTATTTTCCACTTATATTCACAAAATTTGTTTAAAAGCTATTAAAACCTTGGTATTCTAAATTAAATCTACATCATCTTTTACGAATATTTACTGCCTAAATACTCTATATTGGAATTAGATCCGTTCAATATTAAAATACGAATCCATCGTATGGTGCAAATTCTCGTCTTGTCATATTGAAAAAATCGAAAGGGTTCAAAGAAAATGTTCACACTACATGAGCTTTATTAAAATATCAAATAATGAAAACAACTGTAATATAAATAATGATAATATCCTTAATCTTAATATATTATCCATTTGTTGTAAAAAGCTGATATATCTTTCCCTCTAAAATTAAGTAATGGCAAAATTAATTATTTTCCACTTTCAGAACGTATTTCTTTCAATGTACCTCAATATTACTCTCGAAAGTACACTACATTTTTTATCAAAACCTACCGTACAAATTAAGGGTATAATTACCCATTTGTAATGATTTTGAGAATGGAAAATGAGTCTGGTCTTTTTTCACTATTAGATATTCAATATATGTTACGAGTTAACCGGACTTAATTGTTAAATATGTTAAAATTATAATTATTATTAAAAAAAAAAAAAAAAAATAGCTTATAATATAATTATTATATTTTATATTGTTATTATTTGCATATAGTGTATAGTATATATTATTATATTTGTTATAAATACTATTAATTACGATATGAACGTAAACCAACTCTGGCGTTTATTTCAATAAATAAATAAATAATTGATGTGCAAAATATAATAAGTAAAAAAAAAAATGTCCTAAATGTCGACAGCAAAATAAAATAATTTTTAAATAATATATAAATATATATTAAAATGCACAGAAAACAGGATAGGTTTTATGAATAAAGAAGTGTTATGCATTTACTTCTTTAAAAGAAACGCAAAAAGTATGAAAGCAAAAAAATTTAAATTTGCCTTTGAATTGATATTGTTTAATTCATATGGGGCACAGCACGTATATAGCACATAATTAGGTAGCTGCTTGTAAAATGCTTTATTCAGTTTTAATAGTATATTAGAATGAAACAGTCAACACACAATAATAACTCAAGTATGTGTGGTTTCTACTTCACAGTTCTAATAGTGGTTTTTATTTTTATTTTTTTAATTATTTGTCTTGATTTTTAGCACTTAATATGAGTAAAGAGTTACATATATTAGAAGTTTTAATATTTTTTCGAGTTTCAATCTAGATTTAATCTCAATTACCTAATAATATACATAAATCGAAATATTATATATTTATAGTGAATAGTATGCTATACATTATGTATTTAATGGAAATCAATTTTTTTACCATCGGTTTACTTCATAATAATTGATTATTCTAGAAAATTTAATTTCAGTAAGTATTTGGTTTTTCAAATTAATCATGCACTAAATATTCACAAAAAAGTTATTTATTATGAAATGTACTATAGATACTAGTTATGCCTTTTTTCAAATCGATCAATTTTACAGTTATAAATTGTAACACTATAATATATACTTTAATACATATTGTAAAAAAAAAAAAAAATTAAAATATGCCTTTAAGCAAAATTTAGATACTAAAATATGTATTTGTACATTGTTCATTTGATAAATATTAAAATAAGATTTAATTTCTTGACGTTTACGAAAGAAATTCAAAATAGTATTTAATAAAATAATAATAATTAAATAAAAATTAAAAATTATTATATGGTTAATATAATTATTATTATTATTATAATATAATAATTAATATAATATATTTTATTATAATATACAGTAAAACCTCGATAAGACGGAACTTCGGTAAGACGGAAACCTCGGTATAACGGCACATTATTTTGCTCCCGTTTCAAATTACATACTATTAACTAACCCCATCAAGATGAAAACCCCGTTAACACGAAAAAATATCATGGTCCCAAGCGATTTCGTCTTATCGAGATTTTACTGTATTTGTTTATTAATTTATATATTAAAATAAAATTGTTCGATGAAAAATAAAACTGTTAAAGGGATTTGTATCATATAAAATAATCATAATAAAACATATGTGTTTCAGTTTCACCTGAATGAGTTATAAGGATTTTTGGCTTTGTGTTATATATCTTGTTCATCACCTTCAACCTAATAATTTTATCGACGTTTTTATGTTTTTAAAATTAAAATGATCAATGATAAAAATAACAATAACATTATGAAAATCAGTTTTTCGAACGTTATATTCTAAAAATATTTTATTGTAACAATATACAAGATTATTTTCTATTACTTCAATCAACATTAATAATTGTTTTGATCTTACTTTTGATAGTGATACACTCGACTGAATTTGGTGCGAATTTTAATATTAGATTCAATCGATGTCTGCCGATATAACTCATACCATACAATTATTTTTCTGATTAACATTATATGTTTCCATATAATCATGTGATAATAAAATACGTCTAGGCTGACTGTTTTTCGAGAACGTTTTCGTATACGAAGAAAAGCTTTTTTCCTTCAGACGGTTCAGCGAATATTTTCAATCGGAAAGTAATTAATGTGTATCTATAAACGAGCAACGAATCGAGGTTTTCTATCCACACTAAATTTTTATTATTATTATTATTATTTCAATCGATTAAATTTACTCGACATTAATCGCATCGCGTCTATAAGCCACAGACCGTTACGCTCCTGAAGTCAATCGTCTGTGACATTTGATGACATAATAATTATATAACATTAAATCTCAACATTTGTTATTCATGCCGACACGTCATCATCGTGTCCAAGGGAACTGATTGAACAATTAATTATATTTACTCGAATCGTTCGCCGTCCGTGCACCGAAAAACATACATATTTGATTTGATTTTCGCAGTCTCGTACCTACTCCCAGACCTTAAGTTATTATTCACTACCGAACCGCGCAGAAATATCACATAGATACACTCAATCAACTTTGTGATTACGGTATAAAATTATAATTTGCGGGACTCAAAATGCACAACTGTTGCGTTGACATCGAGTGCTTGAACTGCAGTTTATTTAATTTATATTGATATGGGTTCAGCATGAAATCCATACGTTTTAATAATTTATATTTAACTGATTACTAGAAAACGACAAATCATTTACTTATTGAACTTTAAATGTTACAATAAACGCAGAATTCTCCGATAAAAAAAAAAAAAAAAAACACTTCCTAACTCCGGCTCACACATTACGTACATAAGTCGAATGTGATAAGAATTCGTTAACCATTTCTTGCACTCCATTATTGTCGACAGCCGTTTTACGTGAAACATTACTACAGCAATACGTGAGTAAGACGTTCGGAGGCCCAAAAATATGTGCGATTCTATCCACCCCGCTTTTTTTTCATGGTTCATATATGTTTTTTCGCAGTGGTTGTCGTTTTGCATGCATATAACACAGTTCCAAACGTTTCTGAGGGGAAGACGCGTGTTACAATGTTTATAGGTGCACTCTTGAAACAATCAGCAGCAGCGCAACCTGTATATGATTATATACATCGCACATGGGATTTGAGGGGAAAAAGTGTATCGCGGAAAAAAGTTTCAATGTTTCAATGTTTTTCATCATGTCAAAAACATGATGCCATTCCGCGCAAAATGGATTGCTTAGAAGTTCTCAATCGTTCATCATCATACGTGTTTTATCACCACTCCACTGTTAGTTTTTATTCCATTAGGAACCCAAGAGCCAATAAATCATTTTTATCATATATATAATATATATATATATATATTGTGCACTTATACGTATTGTGATAAATCATAATAATTTCACACATGATTGGACACACATTGAACCGGAGAGTTGCACATTTCACCGTAGCGCTGCCTTATAATAATACCTAACTGAAAGGTATGGGGAAATTACGATGGTGGAAAAAATAAAAACAACTATATGGAACATACCATCGTTATCAGTATATAGATAAGTGCGCCGGAATGTGTGCGATTGAATTAAAACTGTTCGTGTTTTTCTCTCGAATGGAGATGAATTGTCACGTGAAATATGCAATATTTGTCTATGGATATGCACCACAATTTTTAAACACTCAATTTGAATCTGCTGTTCGATATAACATCGTTTTAAACCAGCATATTAATTAGTTTGAGTGAAAGGTTATCAACGTCAAAACCCACGTCAAACATGCACAAATATGATTAACTTTGATAGCATTGTATATATTTAAATGAAAATCGCCTGTTGTTTGTAGTATAGTTATTGTTGTTACAATCGAGAATCTATTATGAATTTAAGTGGTTTTCGTAATCTTTAGTTCTAATTACATAATTGCAATTGATGGACAATTCAGTTTACAGGTGGAAATGTGTACCAAAAATGTATTTTGTATCGTTACATAGTTAAGAATCAGTTTATAACTAGACAAATATATTTAAATATATTTAAGAAATATATATCTTGGTAGAGCAAAAGCTAACGTTTATAGAACATTCGATAAATTACAAATGAAAATAATTAATAATGTATTCGTAATGCTTGATATCTACCGGCTTACTATACTCTTATCACATATTAGAATAATGTATTCGAGCCATACAATTTTAGTGAGAAATAAGGACAGCGCCTAATAAAAATATTATGTAAACAATATCTGATTTTAAAACTATTTCTTATGGAGAAATGTAAAATTAAAACTCTATGCAATATTTCCATTGAAATATAAAAGGATAAATCAAGGACTCTGAATAAATACTGCTAGTACTCGAATAAATATGAATCACAAGAACCAATCCATGTAGGCTTCGTATGATAAACCTACAGATCAAAGCAACGTCTAAATAATATATTAACAAGTTTACCTTACTTCCAATCACTGTGCCAAAAGGTTACATAAATGTCGGAGGCTTTTAAAAATTTTTACTGAAACATAAGTTTTCGCGGGAACTTGTTGTATTTTGTATGACCGACCGATTTTGAAGTAAAATGAAAAATGAAAAAACTGTTGCCCCGAAATTATAAAAATGTGTGTATGTTAAATTACGTACAATAATTTAAATATTTATCATTCCTGTAGATTATCGGTTTATATATCCTTTATATAATCCTATATTTATAATCAATTAAGTGTTTTTAATTAAAATGAGATTATTTGAAATCATTAGCCAATGAGTGCAGTTCTCTCATTAAGATTTGCTATAAAAAATAATGATCCCGGTAACAGATTTCTTTAAAAAACGGTAATGTGGAAATCAAAACATATTTCTTTTTACGACACATCTCAAACCTGAAAATTACAGTGTATTCGAATTCAAAAAATCACCGGAAAACATTTGGCACATTTACTCTTATTTCGAGGGACAAAGGTGAATACAAATAAAAATAAAACCATTTGGTGCACAATGTGTATTTTTATAGGTATAATGCCGACGAACAAATCTTCTACTTAAAAAACCAACTCCTCGTCGAGATCGGTCGTAGAGCTCAAGTGATGACGAATAAAACGATTTTGCACGTGAGATACTTACGAATTACAAGTTTTTGAGTTTTGAATCACTCACACGTTCCAAAACGGTGAATCAACATATTGAGAGGGTTGTAAACACTCCATTCTCCAGGAACAATAAAAAAGATATTTTAACACGTTTATTACTCGTGTAACTGCGTACACTGTACACGTATCTATAATATTAACGGCTATTATTCGAAGAAAAAAAAGAATCTGGTCACGTACAAAGGTTACTTTTTTCCCCCGTGTGTGTGCATGCGTATGGATATACTATGTAAAAATTGCGGTTGTTGAACAAAATTTGATGCTCAGTATATGTTCTACGGTCTACCTTGGTTTTGATATTTTATGATCGGCCCATCTCGTCCAGTTTTTTTATCAACATAATATTCTACGAAATTTAGCTCGTGAATTCCGAAGAACGTATTTGAATCGAATTATATAACCGCCAAACATCGGGTACATACAACAATTGTGCGTGTAAAATATATCAAAACAGCCCGTGAAATACATTTAATATTCTCTGTAAATATTCTGTTAAAAGACAACATTTAAATCATATATCTGATTTTAATGTTCGAAATCGGCAAATGTTTCGGCTTTATCTTGCCGTTACGTCAGCAGAGCGGATTCAATGCAACAGCGAGGTTTTCATGTCGTATCAGACGAAAAGTTCGTTATAGCCTTTATGGTGTTTAAACTTAAAATGTTCACAACAATTCTATATTACAAACACTTTACCAGCAAACGCATCAGAAAAATAAACAATAATTCTTTTCTTAACTTAAAGAATAACAAACTCCGCGAGCGCTATTAAAACTTTTTGATTATGTACCGGGATAACAATAGACTTGATTGTATTATGCGCTTAACGGATTCCCTAAACTCTTTTGAAAATTTAAAGTTAATTGAATGATTTTTCTTTTTTATGATTTAATTTTAATGTACGGTTTATCGTTATGGGTTATGGGTAATCATAAACGCATTTTACTATTTCAACAGCCGTTGGTAATGTATACTAATGAAATTAATTTTAATGTTAAAATATGTTGGCATTGATTCTGCAAGATCAGAAGTCGCCACAATATTCGCAGTACTGAAAAATAATAATTGTTCGATCGGCGTTGAACCGTAATGACCCTTAACAACTTTATTTTCCATTACATTTGTTATGTGCTGGAAACTTAATTTAACACCCAAGTCAAAATCTAAATTATTCCATGGCACACAACTATGCTCTACAGCAGAATATAACGCAAGGAATGTACCTACTACACTTAACTTACACGTAATGCACGAACAATGACAGTGTTTTGCATTTTTTATAGAAAATTAAAATTTAATATAATTTCCTATTTCAGCGTAACACAAAATTTTCCGTTTTTTTTTTTTATTTTTTTTTTTTAGTACACGCTCATATTGATTTCAAATTATAAAATTATTTTTTTCTTTCAATAGAGTACGAACTTTCTTTTGTAGGGATAAAATTACAATGATTTCCTCCAGTTTGTAGTTAATTTAGTAACTTATGTATAATATTAGTTTTTGTATTTGTATAAAAAATCAATTACACTGTTGTAATGAATATTTAAGTGGTCTTTTGTTCTACGATTTAGTAATACATAATCAATGTTATTTAATAACTAATAGAATATAAATATGATTAACTTAATAGTCATAAAATTAATTAACTGTATAATAAATGCTTTTTTACATATGATAATTTAATATATATTTTAGAATGATTCAATATTATTTTTGATGAAAATTTTTCAATTGTGCCATTCCTAACACACATTTTTATTAATTTTATAAGTTAATGCGAATTTTACCTATATAATAGGGTGAAATATTACAGTCATAATTTAGCTTTCTTGATTATTTGTCAAACAATCAAATCAACTAATCATTTTAAATAAAAGTAAAACATGTACATACCGTAATAAGTTATTTATACTTACACCAAACTCAATGAATAAATAAATTCAAATTTTTATGTACACATTATTCATCTAGTAAAGAAGTTAAAAAATTATACTATAATAATCTCACTATTTTTTATTACATGCTTACATTTACATTAAGGTCATTAATTTGCACACGCTATATCTAATATTACAGTTAATTTAATAAAGAATCCAAGAAAAAAAATAAAACATGACAAATATAATTCAATATTATACAACAATTTTAATGTTTATTCAATACAGTCAATAATGTTTGACGATTAATTATAAATTACGTAAGAATATTATTTAAACTTTTTTAATGATTTCATAGGCCAAATTGGAAACAAAAGCTCTCAAAGCGAAACGGCCTGGATTCACCGATGAAAGATACAATGAGACATCGTATTATATTGAAAACGGTAAAAAGATAACACTGCAGTTAGTTCTTAACACATAGAAGTTTATAATTTTTTCCATCTTAATTTATTTAGGTTTGCGAAAAGTTTATCCATACTATTTTACATTCACTACATTTACCAAGGGCCGATGGGTAAATCAGAATATACTGGACGTATTCGCTAGAGAGTTCAGAGCTCATCCCGCCGAAGAATACGTAAGTACCGCAAATAAGCCGACCGGGCAATAATCGGAACCCACCAGACAGTAGGTAGTAGTCAAAGAGATTAGAGTTAATGATTGTAATTGTATTATTTATTTATATATATATATATAATGTGCGTTTTGTTTTTGAAACCGAAAATATGAAATTAATATTAGCAAAAGTTGAGATTATATGATAGTCTTTATTGTCCCACTCCCCTTTTGGAACCTTCATTACGTCACTTCGTTAATTTACCCGACCGAGACGTTATTAAAGGTATTCAAAAAAAGCTTTTGCATGTTTGTGTACATTAACACATATAATATGAACGCCTTTTTTTTTATAAAATTTCGCTAATATTTCAAATGATTTTTTAAATAACCACAGTCCTGATAACTAGTGGTCTTATGAATAATATTTTGTCGAACTAAAGGTTTTAAATTCTTGTTCTGTTCTCGCGAGTGATTATTATTATAATCTGTACATTTCTTATACTCTATCCTTCCATAATCTAAACTTGGTTAGGATATTAATAGCACAACAGAATAAACGTTTTAAAATAAATGATTGGCGGTGGAAAAAGTTAACCAAAATGTTTTGTATCCCAATATTGAAATAACATACGGGTTAAACCATTAAATACATAATTATGTTACTCGACTGTACTTGCACTGTAATACGTATGTTTCATTCGTAGGAACGTTGCATAAAATCCGGCTCGTTGACGGTGAATTATCAAAAAGTGGACACGCAATACAAGTTGAAACATAACGATCTGTTGGCCAACGTAGTGCACAGGTAAGTTTCTCTGTGTTATTGCTACCGTTAACTACACGCGTATACAGTGTGATTTCTTAAGCATATTTATCCTTTTTTATACTTCAGTTGTGAACCAACTTGAATTCTGACTTACGGAAAATATATGCTCAACATTAGATCATTTTTTTTCAAAATTTCATTTTTCTTACCTCTTAAGGAGTTTTCTGTAATGATAACTACTTTTTTTTTTTTTTATATTATAAAGTTGAATTAATATTTTTAGAAGTATTCAAATATAGTAAGTAGTGCATACAAAAAATTTAAAATAATAAGAGGGTTGACCATTTCTTTTTACCATTATAACTTACAAATTACACAAATAATGAATATGTTATATAATGCACACATTGGTACGCGTATATATACAGTATGGATATTATTTGTATGAATAAATTGTAATAATAATAAAATGAATGTCATATCAATTTGAAAAATTAAAATTTATATTGCCACAGGACACTTTTTACTGGTGATGAAAACAATCTATATTTTGGAAAATATAATCTTACAAGTTTACTAACATTTTTCATAGTTGTTAATTTGAATAAATACGTAATTTAAGCATAAAATATAGGAATCGATGCTCAAAAAATTTCCCTATACATTAATTTACTGCATCGACCGTCCAGCGTGTAGTACATTAAATTTCGACGGCAAGATAGACAGCGCTTGGTCACCGCAACAACCCTTACACGTGTCACTTTTGGGGTAGCAAATCCACCAGGGAAAATCCACTGTTATTGCATTAGTACAGCAATCAGTTTGGTTACCTATATATACATATAAGACCAAAAAGAAACCTGTCAACTTTGAAGAATATATACACAAAGTCTAATTACGTCCCGAGGCATCGTGATTCACAAACGGGAATTCAATAAAAATTTTGTAATTTCATAATATTCGTTTAAAATAATGATGCATTTTTCCACAACTCAGACTTGCTTTAAACTAAATCATTACCTATAAACCTATTCGTAACTTAAACAATAGAATTTGAAAATTTATAATTTTTTTTTATTAGCAACTCAACTGGAGAAACTATGACCATGTTGCCGAAAAGGAATAATCGCAATTTGACATAATAAAATTCTGTCTCGGACAGGTTTTCACCGTGTCATAAATATAACATTTTTCATTTTTTTCTTACTTAACTGTTTATTACAAATCGATCGAACATTGTAACAACACATATACATTATTATAATACGAGAAGTTCACCATTCTATACAAATATATAAATATTATAATGTTATAATAATGTTTAACTAAAAGCCGCAGTAATACGTGTTTGAACCCGACGCGTAAACTAATAAATCAGACGATAAAAACAAGTATAGGCAGTTTCGAGTTTAAACTTAATTTAAAGCAAACTATGTAAAATATATGCACCTAAGTTAAATGAGTCGACCCAAAGGTGGAGATAGTCGGCAAAATTGCGTTCATAATAAATGTCGTGGTATTATTTATAATAATGAAAAATAATATTCCCTACATTAAAAGTATTAATATAATGGTGTTAGGTTTATTCTTGCTTAACCAAAAGAAGTGATAGAGTAAAGCGAATTGAAACATATTTCCTTTCATTCGTAAAAAGATTAATGTAGTCCTTCTGAATGAGAAATTTGGCATATATTTTTCAATTTTCATATCTCATCGTCTAAACATAATTTCTTTTTTCTTTAACATCGAACTTATAACAAAATAACAATTCGGCATTTATATAAGTAACAATAATTTTACTATATTTTGCCATCAAATTAACACATACCGAAGTTTAAGAACATAAAAAAAAACCAGTTGGTTAATTTCAACTCTTAAAATAGCCATAACTTAAAATACATTACGTATATAATAAATAATTATATTCGTATTATTATTTTTTTTTTTTTAGCAAATTTTACTTTTATGTCTCTTTCATACAAAAAATTAATAATATTGGTTTTGTATACATTGTATTATTAATTACCTATTAGTTTATAAAAGTCAATAATTTTAAACTATTTTTGAAAAGAAAATTATGTCAAAAAAAAAAATAAGGTTAAGTGAGCTGGATCTAATGTATATGCCTCTATGTCATCCCTGATCTAAACCATAAATGTTTTAATTGGTACTCGATTACCACGAAACATTGGATTTATATAACAGTAAAATAAAATAAGATTTGATTCACTGTGTTCGGAATTAATAGTTTTTATTTTTAAATGTTTCAATGCTATATTTTTTAATTTTAAAAAGGATTGATATAGTAAAGACATTTTAAAGACTCACGTTATGACACAAAACTACTCAATAAGGCTTAGATTTAAAATAATATGTTTGGTATGGTGGATGTTTTATTCCACCTATTGCTTATTGTCTTAATAATTTTCTTTTTACTACTATTATTTATTGTCTTTTGCCACAATAAATTATTGACATTATTTTAAATCACATGATTTCTAAGATCTTGTTCAAAAAGAAATATTCAAAATAACAAATAATTTATGGTATACATTTTATACAACTAAATGTTCATTTATTGTTTTTAAAGAATAACAAATGATGGTATAAAATTTAGCGAAATGAAACTCGTAATACTCTAAAAAAAAAAAATTACAATTATAGTAGACAAAGATAGTTCAATGATTACCAAATCTTCATCCAAGCACGTTACAATTTATCGTGTTGGATATCAAATTTTTTCTATAATGACGTCTATCGATAGAATATATAGTATTTTTATTTACATACAATAAAATATGTGTTCGAGATGTGCGTGCGTATACAAATAATTTGAGTTTTTATCCCAGATGCAATACCCGAAGAAGTTTCTATTTTTTCAGTTCGTTTACTTCTGATACTTCCGATATTCAATTCCGTTAGATAGTTTCAGCAAACATGTATAGTATATTTGTACTCACATATATAGCGATTTGGCCGTACTTTAAAAAACGATTCACCGAAACGTATGATCCTTCGCTGCTACATATTATTAACTACGATGTTGCTGATACAAGTGTTGGACTTACAAACATAACAATTTTTTTTTCTTTTCTTTTTTTCGCATTCTCACTTTGTCGAATCCAACAGAAATTGTTAGGATGCGTAAAATATAAATACGATTTAAGTTTTACACTGGTTGATCAAACATAAAACGTGTTCAGGATAGGTTACATTTCGATAAAATGGGTTATTTTTAGTTTCGTAAAATACTCAAAACAATAATTCGTGTAGAAAAAATGATTTATAATTTTAATGAGTTTGGTAAGTAAAATTTTGCTTTAAGTTTTTAATTACTAGATACAGTTCGTAAAAAAAATAACACTATTATTCAGAAAAAAAAACCCGCGACATATCAATAATTATTATTTATATATTCTTTCGACCATTCAGGTTTCGTGATTTAATTACCAAATTCTATAGAAGCATTATGAATAATCTATGCAGAAACTAAAATAATATGTAATTAAATAACAAAGTTTTAAAAAACAACTCAAAAACATATTGCTGTAGATTCATTTTAAAACTGCAATCTAATGGACTGCATAGAAAATAAAATAGTTCTTTATTCAGTAAATTCTTGTTATGTCGAGAACGACCTCTGGAGTATTATTTAATCGTATCAAAACTCTCATAGCAATTAAAATTGAGTTCAATTGATCGAAAACATAGACTTCTAAAAACAGCCACTGTTGCAGTTTCCTTAAAATATGACTTAACGATAATCTACTTTAAATTATGATTTCGTACCGAAACCGTTTTTTTTTTTTTTTTTAAAAAAAAATTTTATATTACTCGTACAATCGGTGTACATTTATCTATTGACGATATTGACTTTCACAACATGGAATGGAGATTGTCTTCTATGTGATTAACGACTGCGGAAAATTGTTTTTACGTGATATAATACTCAAGGCGAGAAAATCGTTTTCGTTATTCGGTTATCGACACCGACCCGTGATTCATAGCAATAACAAGCACTTGATAATCGTCATGGGCGGTGATTAGTATGTGATGTTTTTGACGACGATCGCATACGGTGCCAGCGTTTATTATTACATGACATGCACTTTTTTTCCTGGGCGTGGGCTAACCTTACCGACCTAACCCATCCCGGTTTCGCGTTTCCGTATTGCTTTGTAAACCATACCCATCCAGTTAACAGCGTTTTGACGAGGGATATGTATGTATGTTACAGACATGAAGTACCGGTTACCAACGAGCCAATAACGATCGTGCACATGGATGACGACATCGTTGTAGTCAACAAGCCTGCAAGCATTCCGGTAACTTGATTTATTTGTAAAATAACTGTTATATACTCGTCTGTAGAAAATGTATTTGACGTGCGCGCGTACAAGTGAAATCCATTTATTTCTACAGGCTAGAATCAGTAGTGCAACATTTTGGTTTGAACATTAGCGTCATAAATTTCACGTTTTTGGAAAAAAGAGACATTTATTCCTATGATACCTTAATTCATCGTCAATCAAGCTCGTACCTAGCTCGCGAAACATTTTACTCGATCCGAACGTGTTTTTCGTTGAACTCAGTTAAAATGTTCAACAATCAATTTTTAGGTTAAACCGCTTTTGTTTGTAAAATTTTTGTATTTCAATGCGTCTTACATCTTATTGTTTCCGTTATAATTTAAAGTGCAACGTTTCTACGATTTATAAGCTATGTTACAAGCAGATCTGAATGGAGCGCAGGTGAATGAGATTTATTTCGACGACAACAGACAAACTGTAGTGTAGTTAACGAATCGAACAGTTTTAGAGGAAAAAACTAATTATAATGAACGAGTATTTGAACTTCACTGGGGAATACAAACCCATTCAAGTTTTTCGTACCAATCAGATTTATCCGCAAAAACGCAATGAATTGGCTATTGTAGCGCACACGACGTGGGTTTTCGACGAAACGTGATGCAAACAAACAAACCTGACCCAATTATTATAAAATGGTCTTTTTCGTTTTTTTCACGGTGACGTTTTGTTTTTTCGTACTTGCTGTAGAATCTCTTCGTGTTACTCAGTCGAAACACGCGCGCGCATAAGGGATGGAATGCAAAGGTTATGATAATCTGGAAACGGTCCGTCCGCGCATACTAAATAATACTAAATAGCGTCTTCACTTCATACCAACAGGTTCATCCGTGCGGTCGTTACCGACACAACACGGTGGTATTTGTGTTGGCCAAAGAACATAATCTGAGAAACCTCAGGACCATACACCGTCTGGACAGGTTGACCAGTGGCTTGCTGATGTTCGGAAGAACACCTCGGTACGCCCGAATCATGGAGGCGCAAATCCGCAACAGACAGGTGAACAAACAGTACGTTTGCCGAGTCGAAGGAAAATTTCCCGAGTGAGTCTACGCAAATATGCAATATAATATTATTACGTATCGTATTATAATATATCCATAGAGCGTTTTAGCTCTAGTCGCTGTAGCACGCGTTACCTTTGTTATAGTGGTGTAGCCAGGGCTCTAAAATGGAATGTGGCAGAAAGGGAGGAGTGTAGACAATGGTAAACAAAATCGAAATTTCTAATAGTTACAATTGTCCATATTTAAATTACATGACAATATTCTTATGAAAAATCCGACCTATGGGGGAAAGCCATAGTTTATTCGGCCACACCTAGTTCTCTGGCCACACCGCATTCCAATATTATTGTGAATACTGGACGTGTATGTGAATGCAGGCAAACGATCGAGTGCAATCATCCAATCGAAGTAGTCAGCTACAAGATTGGCGTGTGCAAGGTGTCCAGCAAGGGCAAAACGTGTTCAACGACATTCCAATTGGTCGGCTACAACGAGAAGACCAACATCAGCGTGGTCCTGTGCTTCCCACATTCGGGACGCATGCATCAGATCAGGGTTCACCTACAATACCTAGGTAAGTCCAAAGATTTTTCTCATATCCTATCAATCGTTTCGAGTCTGTATTGTCCTGAGTCCTTATATACCCGATTTGTTCGTCGATCATTATTATCCAGAGCGTTTCCAATGATTCTTCGTATAAGTCGTTCGTTACAGGAGCCGGTCGTGGTTAACTTCGAAAAATATAATGCTAATCGGAACGCGCATTCGTTTGACCTAGGGTTCCCCGTTAAAAACGATCCGCTGTACAACCACGTGGTATTCGGACCGGAAAAGGGTCGCGGTGGCGTCATCGGCAAGACGGACGAGCAACTGATTCACGACTTGATCAACATACACAACGCCGAGAACTGGTTGGGTATGGACGGCGACTCAGAACTGATGCCGATATTGAAAGACGTCGACGTCGTGGACGAGGGAAAGAAGACACCGCCGGGTGAGTAGAAAATAACGTGGCAGTATTTAATAATATTTTATTTTATGATTAACGAGTACGACGGATATATCAGCGATATCGTCCCGACGTACCCATGCAATATGCTACCGGTTGTACTACATAACATGAACGTGTTAAGTACTATAAGATATACAACCACCGATCTTGTGAACATTACGTACCATAATTAAAATTCTAAGCATTAATCGCGTAATTCGAAATGGTCATAAAGTATTAATCTAAACCAGTGGTGGCCAAACTACGGCCCGCGGGCCAACTCTGGCCCACCATCATTTAATATCTGGCCCGCAAAAGTCTTCTATATTACAGCACTTATTTGTATAACTGTAATATTTTGCATTTACGTAAAAAAAAATTTAGAATTCATTTTTTTATGGCCACCACTGATCTAAACCGTTGACAATAATCGTTTCGATTATTAAAAATCATCGTCACCAAAAAATTCGAAAAGGTTGTCCAATTCTTTTGTATTTATACTTTTACAATTTGCACTGGAAAATTTAAAATATATTTGGACGACTAATACAAAATCTTTCTACGATTGGCTATTTACTTCTTATTTTTGTAGTGAACCGTTTAATAATATGGTATTTTCCAGTGCATTTGTAAGAATGTTTTACTTAGTGCCGATCGTCCAACGCCACTAAAACTCTTTCCCAGCCAGAATTTGAGCCATTATCATTTTTTTGAATATTATATCAAATAATTAACGTAAATATAATCTGCGCTCAGTAATTTTTCTGTATTATTCTGAATTCATTGTCACCGCATAACGGGTTGTAAAAAATAACACTAAATCCGCTTGTTTCTATGTCCTGTGTGGCATTGTATACTTTGAGATCCACGTCATGATCTGTTTATCGATAAGTAACATTTTGTATCCCGGGAGATCAATGACGTTTAATCAGTCCTTATAAATTGTGCATTAACACCCAAAAATAAATAAAATATATTTAAAATTAGAATTTCAAGTCGTTAAATATTTTCCAATGTTTTGCTTAGAATAAAATCAAACATCATTGTGATAAAAAACATACGTCACGTGGAACAGATGGTATAATTCATACCTAGTAGTCTTACCTTTGCAAGAGGTTATTATTGTGTTTAACGACTACCCAGTATAGGTATTCGATTTTGATAAAACGTCTTCATTTTCACTATACACTTGGCAGTCCGCTCTGTTGATTATTTTATTTTCAATCTATAAACTGTTGTATTATAATATACTACATATATAAATACTTCAAAAAGGGCTTTTTTATATTTTTATACGATGAAAACAAAAAAAAAAATAATTTTTTATGAAAGACCTCAGCCTGAACTGAATATACTACAGCTGTAAAATGAAAAATGAAATAATTGCGATAGACATTTTCGAAGAGCACCATGCAGTATTACAGATTGAATTTGTGGATGTTCAAAGGTAAATACATTTGCAAGAAAATTACAAATAAATTCTATTATAAAAGAAAGAAAAATGAAATTAGAATATAAATACATTTTTTTGGTTTAGTAATTAAAATATAATAAATTTTAATGTACGTTAAGTTTTATTTTACTTCCAATTTAAAAAACCAGGAAACGCCTCTGTGCGAGTTATTAGTATTTTCCAGGACCCAGTAAATCCAGCTATTTTTTTTAAAAGTCATTGCGCTTCACTTTTACATTTATGAATAATTCCCAAAAACCTGCGGAGCCACAGTGACGTAGGAAATAAGATAAATATTCGAGTTATTTAGAGATAAAAAAATAAATAAATAATTATAATAAATATAAATATAAAGTAAAGATACGATACATACAATATATTGTACCATATACGAACACTAAAATGGTAAACCATATTTCTAATTTTACCATAACATAATTTAGTGCGAAACAATATTGTATTTTATTTTGCTTTTACATAAATTCGGCGAGGAAAAGGAGTAGTAGTGCGACAAGTAAAATAATATCTGATTTCTAAGAGAACAAAAGACAATACTCGTGACTAGTTTTAATAATAGTAACTAACATTGATTATTTTACGTTGTTCGATCGTTTTAAAAAAAGTCCTCGCGTGAGAATACTGAGATTTTTCTTTAAATTATTTAAGAATAACAATATAATAATTATTATTATTGCTCACTCGTCAGAATAGTTTTAGAACGGCGCGTGGTATAGGCAATATAATAGCTTTAATGTGCAACGGTACAATACAACGTATATTTTTTATTTAATGAAATATTCGTATTAACTTTTGAAAAGCCTGTTAACAGAACCAAAGAAATATCGTTGTTCCGTCTTTAAACAAATAAGATTTTTATTTTAATCGTCTGATAATGTCATGCTATTTTTTAATGAAGTATGTGTTTTTCCAATTCTTTATGTTTATAACTTGTTCATTATCGCATCATAACTATATTATATTGCAATGGTTTTTAGCTTAAATATCACGTGCTTAGATCAGGTTTACCATAAAATTATTAAAAATAAAAACATATTTATGCGTATACAAATATTATATACAAACAACCGCGTTAATAACCCTTTGTATTGTTTCACATACAACTTTATGTACCTAAAATTATTTAAAAGAAATCGTAGTTGGGAGAAAAATGATATTTTACAAACTATTTGAATGTGAGTACGACGCTTAATATATCCATACCAACAAGCACATTGTTCGTTGATATATTTTTAAAAATGTTCTTCGTCAACTATTTTATTTCTATTAAATACTTTCACGGCATCTATAACAATTCGAATCGACAATAAAATCACAGCAATTTTACAGTTACAATTACGATATTAATTTTGCACTTACGTAAATTTTATAATCGACGATTTATTTTCGATGCCATAAGCTTAACTTTTTAAGATAATATGTATAACATGTACTACAGTGAACTAGTATTTTCAGTTAGATCTATGTTTAGAATCTCATGGACGTGGATGTAATTATGGAGATTTTTCTCGTTCTTTATTATTATTGAAATACTCAGTATGATTTACACCGAAATCATTACATATCGTAAATCTGATATCTTCTTACCATACCAGAGGGAGAGAGAAGTAAGGCTTATATAAAGCAGGCTGCTTATTGATTTTTGTCTTATATCAAAATACCCTATAGCTTAAGTTACCGTGGGTTGACTTATCTATCCTGAACTAACTTAAGGATAACTAATGATACTTGTAGTCAAAGTTTATAAATATTATAAATTAAAATAAATATTTGTATTTATTTAATAGCCGTCCTATTTTATTATATTGTAGATCCCTATTTTTTGCATAAACTTTTTTCTAAATCAACAAGATTATTAAAAATAATGTACTTATTTTTATTTCAAACCAATAATTTCCGTATACACTCAGTTTTCTAGAGGGTCAGTTTAGATTTTCAATTGGATGAATATTGATTTACAACTAAAAAATAAAGCTGTTGAGACCAATAATCGTCTATTAAAAATCAGTTAGATGTCCAATGAAGTTTATTACGCCTTTGATAATATAAGTAACGGTAACAAATTATTTAATGTATGTCAGTATGCGGTAACGCATGCTGAATATCTCATTTTGGTAACCATAAAGACATCGTTGACTAAATTGATTTTTGGAGTTTATTTATGTTACAGATACGATTGAACTGTGATTAGGAGCAAAGAATAATTTATATTTTCTCATAAGAACTTATCGTTAATGATTCCGGTGAAGTTAAATTTATTGTTGTCTATTTAAAACCACTAGATTTCGCATTAATCGTCTCATAATTTAATTTATTAACGATCGGGTTATTAATCATTTTAATTAATTGTATAGTTGTTTAAATACTTTGTATTAAATTTGACATATAATAACTATCTAATCAGAGTCCAAAAGTTAAAATTTATGTCGGAGTCTTTGAGCCCGTTATAACTAAATCCAATTAAATTGCAATGTGTACTAATTTATGGTTTAATGTTTTTTTGAAATGGTTTGTTATTTTTTATTATTCAAAAATAAACTACGATATCATTTGGCCACTCTGGGAATAAGATTTAATAACATAACAAAAATCGTAAATTTTAACTCCACTAATCTACTAAGATTATGAGTATATTATGTGTAGAAAAATAAGAGAAAAATAAAAATATAAACAATTTAAATCTAAAAATAATAATTAATTATAATAAGACTTTCTAAGGATTATTTTACAGTTCCGCTGTTTTTATAAAGTCGATGGTAACTTCAAAAGTTTGGATATTGACTAATAATTGTTCAAGTATATTTACACATATTCTGTTGTATTAATGTTTACTGATTTCTGTCATTATGTGTTTGAGGGTTAAGGTTTGAGAGTGCCACAACTTGAGGGAGGTTACTTTTATTCATTAAATGACTATGAAAAATTCTTTGGTAATCATTTTGTATTTTTTTGCGTTAACATTTTTATTTAAATATACTTTAACCGTATGTTTTTAACGTTTTCAACAATAGATTTAAGTGATGCATTAAAGTATAAAAATTAGTCTTTTGCAACATCATGACCGATATAATTTTACGCTTCACATGCTTCAAGATTAATCGTTTCTATGTTAATAATTTATAAAACCATGTATGTAACATATACTATATTACGCTTTATTGTGAAAATTATCAAACATCGAGTGGGAATATGTTTTGAATTTGTCAAGTAAAAATCCCGAACAAAATGAACTTATTCGCCTTAATTATAAATGCAGTTGAACGAAACGGAGATATAAAAAGCGAAAAAAACAAAACACGTTAACATAAAAAATTATTTATGTGCACTTCCAAAATATATTAAATAAAAAATAATAATAATAACAGCGCAAGAAAGGCTTTATTTTGTGATATTCATTACGATACTGTCTACATTTTCTATGAACATTATTATTGTTTCATTGTTTAAAATTATTTTGGACAGTACTTTAGTTATATAACGGAGATGTATTATATACTTCATTGTATAGCTGTTGTGTTTTCAAATCTTTTTTTCTATTATTGAAATTCTTGAAAGCGTCCAGTAACACATATATTTCTTAATAACACGGATATAGAACCATATTTTTATGAAAAATTATTTGTTGCATTCCATTTAAAAACAAATACATAGAAGTGACATTGTATATATATATATGCAATTAATATTAGAGGCAATACATGTAATTAAACTGAAATATTTTAAATCACTAAATTTATAAGATAGTAAATAATAATAATTTTGTTTAAAATAATTAATAAGTTGTTTTTATTCTCTTTCAATCATTCAATAGCAATTTAAAAATTTTGTTTAACATTATTAATAAAATGTTTTTTAAAGTAATAAATACTTGTAATAATTTTTATTCAACAAAATATATTTGATGATAATATAATTTTTAAACATTTAATCATTGATAATATTATAATACGAACCGTCTTACAACATAACATATAATATTGTCAAAATATTAATTTAACAATTATTTGTCTAAACTAGAAATGTATGATAAATATAATGTTTATTTCTTACTATAATAAAATTAATTACTTTTTTATGAAATTGACATACATTTCAATTAATTTGAAATGTAATTGAAAGTATTGAATTAACAATTCATTAAAATGAACAAATTAAAAAAAACTTAAATCAATAAAAAGAAAAGAGAGTATAATATATTATTTGTTTTTCTTTATTTTATTTTTATTTTGTATTTCTTCGGATTCCAAAAAAATTGGCCTACTTAAATAAAACATCAATATTGAATAAAAGTAATTTATAAATTTTCTAAACACATACGTATATATATTTATAATAGCAAACAAGGCCGTATCTAGAAAAATTTTTCGGGAGTGCTCCAAAACATGTATATTATAATTTTATTGAATTTAGATTTTAATTTTTGATATTTGGTTAAAAATAAAACAGAAAAAAATTGAATCTTCTTTTATTAAAATTAATATCATATTTTCATATGATATTATGATATAAAATTAAAAGCAGTCAATTAATGGAGCTTAAGTCATTTTTTACTGAAAATATTTATGTTGTTATTAAAAATAAATAAGTATTTTGAACATTCGTAAAATATTGAAGAAATTTCGGGGGGATCTAGACTTCCTGGACCCCCCTACAAATATGGCCTTGATAGCAATTTTTTTTCCCCATAGTATAAATAGAAATATACAGTCAAATAGTATCAAATATCTTATGGAATCTATGGGAAATGAGTAATAATTTTGTAAAATAAGAAACTGACAGGAAGAATAATACGAAAAACAATTTGGAGATCAAATTTCGTATTCTTTTTTAACCACTTATAATATGACGTTCTACTATTTTCCTCATAAATATATTTTTACTGAACCCAAATGATACAGTGTAATAAATGTATACAAGTACGTTCATTAAAGTTTATCTCGACAGTGAAATGTGGCTTTTTCAATCAAATTCTTCCGAGTTAAAGAAAAAAATAATTATTTTATTTTGACAGCGCGATGTAGATTATTTCATAAATAAAAAATATTTAAAAGTATATATTTTTGTTTTTAATATAAATATACACATACTTGTATGTGATGAATTACACTGAAATTTTTGGTAAAAAAAATAATTTATCGGACTTAAAAATAATAATTATTATCAAAACTTATTTAATACGATTAACAATTATTCTATGTAAAAATCTATATCATAAGTATTTGAATTCGATCCATTTACTATAAGTCATAAGAATCATTTAGATCGCATGTGACTAAAATGCATTTATTTTTCGAGATGAAACAAGCATCATTTACCGATAGCAAAAACATAACTGTTAACTCGATTATAAGAATTGTAAGTTATTTAAATGTTAGTTCAACTAAACAATAATATGTGTTTGAAATTCATTTTTTCAAGGTTTCAAGAAAAACGAGTCGTCAACTGTGGAACAACAACAGCAGACGAAAGGCAGTCAGACCAATAATCGGGCACTAATGCAGTACGACAACGCGCTGAACGTGTCAACGCAGACAGGACAAGACGTGCCGGACATGGATTTCGATGCGGAAAAACTCACATACGACCCTCATTGCTACGAGTGCAGAGTGAAATTCAGGGACCCAAAACCAAAAGACCTCATCATGTACTTGCACGCTTGGAAGTATAGTGTGAGTATATTTTAGACGACGAGCAATAATATAATATTAGACAACGTTGTGCACTGATATTGGGAATTTAATTTTATTCCCACTCCTTTTATGTATAATAAAATATATTTTATAGCTAACCACAATGGACTATATGATTTTAATAACGTACGATTCCAAAAAGAAACTTTTAAACTTATAAAAAGTAAAAAAAAAAAAACTTGATGACAATTCGCTGTAGTTTATTTCATTTATTTATTTATTTCAGATATTTTTTAATTAATCACATAGAATCTCTGTTATCATACTTTTATTGAGCTACACTATTTTACCCGCAAGATACCATATTGCTGAGTTCTAATTAATTTAAAAATAGTTTTACAATTATTTGTCATTCTTGCCATTCCATGAGATAAAATGGATTAAATATTCACTTTAATAGCTACTTAATTTTTCAATTATCAAAATTGGTTTTTAAATCAATTATTAACTCAATCTTTGATTTAATATTTTGAAAAAAATGTTGAAACACGTAAAAATTGATTAAATTTTCAATACTATGTATTGGTATAATTAAAAACTAAAGATTAAAGCACGTATATTTCATATAACTGAATGGCTACTAGTTGCGTTTTACGGTAAAAATTTCTTCCGAATTGTGGCTCAAGTATTTTTGGACTACATACGAATTACTGCCCGAGTTTATTTTGAGGTACATAGAAATGCAGATTGATTATATACTAAGTCAACATTTTTTTAATGTAAAATTATACATTCTAAGCTAAATTGTACTTCCCATTTTTATACAGAGCTATAGCATCAGTACTATTAGTAAGTTTGTATTTAATTGAATACATACTTTTCAAGTCTTTTTAGTATAGCAAAATTAGAAAAATGGTGACATTTTCTTGGCGGTACAAGTATTGTATTTTGTATTTTGATATCTACATTATACTGTCCTTATATTTTATCAGTCAAGAATGAAAATTATCTTGAAATAATAAAAATCTTTTAATATAACATGTATGATAAAAATGATATAATATTATAAACCTTTATTTTATGATTGCTGGATGTCGTTATTATCAAATGAAGAACGATAATATGATATAGGTGTGATGATTATTACAAATATTAATCAAGCCGCAACCAGAGTTGTTATGTTTTATATTCTTTTTAAAATCTCGTGTTTTCGTATTTAATTGTTTTAAAATGTTAATCTTTAAAAGTGTTTAAAAAAAGTGTAAAAGCAAGTTATTCCCGATCTGTGATTAACAGAATCTTATGAAACACTGAAATACAGTCCACAAGGTCACTAGCATCACCCGATAAATTCCATATCAGTAATATTGTACAATGTACGATTTATGATAGTATTATTTCAATTATCTATTATTCTATCTATTCTGTGGTAATACCCCAGATTAGATTAAACTAATAATCTAAATTGTGGATATACGGTATACTAAAGTTTATCAATAGACACACATTGCGGTATACCTACGCGGCGTCGCGACTACACGGTCAAAAACTATTGTCTTCGTATATAATCAGTTATTGAGATTGTTGTATAACTACTAGTAGTTAATTACTCGTGCCTCATATGTTGTGTATATAATTACTTAATAGTAACTCGTAACCAGAGATGGAGACTAGTAATATTTACTCCCGGGGAAAATATTAAAATTACGTCTTCTCATTGACCAAAAATCAAATACCCTTTCTTACAATTTGTTTCAAATAATTATCACGCAATCATACTTATTAAGACTTAAACGTATTATCATTTAAAAAGTTAAAAATATCAAACTAGTAGTCAATAAAAGATTATATACTATAAAAACTACACTGCCTACAAATTTACGTCTGGTGATGAATCTTCGTCTTCCTCCCTGTAGCATCGCCACTGCTCGTAACTTAAAATTTTTAAAATAGTTTAATATTATTTTAATTAGTACGATTATTTATTATATCCTAATTTCTAAGGTTCTAAAAATGTAATATATATCCCATAGTCTTAACATTAACTCTAAATTATTTAAAAATGAGTTTAAAACACTTAATTAAAAAAAATAGTTTTAAACAACGTTTATGATTTATCAAATAGTTTAAAACAATTTTAAACATTTTGATTTAAATTCTTTGTTTTAAACATAATAATTTTATACGGAACTCGTCTGCACTAATAAAAAACTTGGGATCGCAATTCGGATTATATAACATATTATTCCGTGCATATCTTTGGAACACAACTAGTATGCAGCCATACAATTTGTATTATTTTATCATTATATCATTTGATATTAAGTGAAAAACATGAAAAACATGAAAAACCCCGAACTAGTATTATTTCAGAAAATGATCATATTAAATATTATTTTTATTTTCTGTTTATAATTTTATCTCGGTCTTCTCTAGTCCTATAAACAAATTAATTTATAACACTTGATTTATACAAATACGAAAACTTAAGTATAAGACATACATCATTTTTTTAGTAATATTTTATCTAAAACTATATTTAATTTCAAATAATATGACCAGAATATCGTTTTTATTACATATACAAAAAAAAAAATCCTAAACAATGTACAATGGTATTAAATTGGAATATGGAAATTTAAATTAGATATAATATATAGTTTAATACTAATTGGTATACTTGTAATTGAGATGTAAATTTTAAAACAAATTAAAAATCGTATTAAATAATAATTATTTATACTTTATTTTATAACTCCCAATGACCTACGGGCTTTCTTGACTGTGTATTGTAAGTCTAATCGCTTGAAAATGTTGGTAATCTCGTTAAGCTGTATTTGACAACTTTCTTCGCTATTGAGTTCTGTAAAATAAATTCTCAGCACAACAAAATAAATTACACTTTACTTCAAATTATAAATTCAGTTCTTTTTAATTTTTGGTATTGAATATTACAACGGTTAATCATGTAAAAGTCGATCATTGTTTCCCCTGGCAATTGAGACGTGTTTTCTAGTCTCCTTAATTTATTCTTTCTCAAAATCATGATACAAATCAAAATACTTACTATTTTTTCCACTCGATTGTGTTTGTATCTGCTCAGTGATTATATTTGACACCTATTTTCGGTATAGTATTCACAAGCACTTTTCTCGGTTAAAAATTAAAACATTTCCGACGTATAATAGTCACATTGGATTAATAATGTGTTCTCAACCGTTATTTTTTTCCTATCGTATTTTATACTCTTACACGGACACGCGCACACGTTCTACCGGAATTATCCTGAGAACACGAATCTATTGTACATCATATTTCCCGAATGTGAAAGCCCATTAGTATTATTTTCCATTTCTTCCTTTAGTTGCAGCTCTATCCCATATCTAATCTATGTTTCGCACATATAAAAAATACAACGTAAAATGTGAACCCAACAGTCAAGATATGTATTGTGTTTAATCATAAACTATTTTCCTATCATTTAACAGTTAAAAATTTATTTTTCGTCATCCCAACAATTATATAAAATACGACACTATATGTATGCACAACACCATATACATACCTACTCTTGAATTAAACGGTTCTTACAAAAAAAAAAAAAAGAAGGAATACTAGCCAAACATGCGTATTACGAGTAATTGCTGGTAATTATTAAGTATTCTCAAAGTTATCTTTAATTTTCAACTCTTATATTTCATATTATAAATTAAATATTAGGTACACATGAAAGTATAAAAATAAAATATATGAACAAAAACTAATAATTTTTAATTAAAATATTTTCAATCTTACATCATACCAGTAGTTCTAGAGTCTTATTATTTTTTTTTTTTTTTTTTGGTGGAAAAAGTAAACTTAATAATACTGTGTAATGCACGATTAGATAAGTGAGTATATAGATTGTATTTTAATATAATCGCGAATTGAATGTTATAAACTTGTAATACAATAAACAAAACACGTTTACGAGTAGTTTTTTTTTCTGTGCATCTTGCTTTAATGACCAATGTACAACAGGTACTTACACGATAAGATTAAGATTATCAGTAATTGAATAGCTATAAAATATATACCGATACTTGTGCATTATTCTCCATACTCTCACCGTGGGCACATGAGATTGCACATGTGTTGCCTTGTCTCCTCTCACCTCGCCTTGTGTATGCTCCACGGCGCGAGTCAAAGGACACGAGACTAAGAGTACCAACTACACTCTCACGCGCACCCTGCAACTCATCAGTGTTAATTATCAGTTTTATTTGTCTTGGTCTTGGTTTTCTTTATTATTATTTCGTTTTGGATATTTTAATTACGTATTATTTTATTATTTAAAAATTTATAATTTGACAAACGAAATACCAATAAAATTGAATATATCAATCTCAACCTATTTTATGGGATTCAACCCTTATGATATTTCACGGGCATTTAAGAAAAAAAGGCGTCCATTATATCAGGAGTCAGACAAAATTAATAAAACAAGAGTGTAGATGGTTGCCTCTCGTCGCTTTGACGAGAATATGAAACTACTCGCTTCACCTCGCCTCGTTCAATTTCATGGCAAGACGAGCTCGCGAGAGTGTAGAGGAAACATTATAATGTAATTTGGTGATACAGATCATTATAATAGTTATTTTTTATGATGATATTTCATTGAAATATTACTACACGACAGTTATATTGATTGTCATTGCATGAATGGGTTTACTAAACTACTTCTTGTTCATGAAATGTGCACCAGAAATTTTATCGTTAACCGCAAATCTTAATAAAATGAACGAAAGTTCTTGTAGGTACATATTAAATATTATGTGTTTGAAAATGTTTTGAAAACACTTTTGGGATTAGTTCTTGAAACTATTTTTTTGTTTAAAGAGACAACGAGCTTACTTATATAATTGACTATTCCGGTGTTTAGCACCATCATAATAGAATAATATTTAAACAGCATTAAGACTTCATCAAGTTCTTCCGGAACACTTACAACGCGTAAAACCTATAAGCTACAAACCCAAGTCACTGCGCGCACATAATTAATAACAAAACCAAAGTGGCTCACAATTTATTGCAAACGAATTTTTCCATCAGATTTTGAACTCACCATACCGAATAATATTATCACAATTTACTTTACGAAACATATTCTCAATGCTAAAATAATAACAATTTTATTCACATAAGTTTTGTTGTATGTCTTTAGGGACCAGGATGGAGTTACGAAACGGATCTTCCAACGTGGGCCAACGTCGATTGGATGGAACCGGAATAAATATAAACCTTAATACATATAATATGGTGGGCCAGAAATTACATGAAAAAAAGAAGAAAAAATTAGAAAAAAGCTAATGAAGAAAATTTGTTTCTGCCCGAGTAACTTTTAGACCACTCTAAGATATTAAGATATCATAATTATAATATTACTATTATTCTTAATCATGATTTTAGTACTCATGCGTAAAAAAAAAATGAGTGCTCAGTTTTTTTTTTTTTTTTTATTGTGATAAAAAGAAATAACTGATGTCTTACAAAAAATACCACTTCTATTAATTTTATAGTCTATGTAATATTACATTATAATTATAAATGCATCATTTTACGATATTTATATATATATATATATACATAGAATATGAGTACACACAATCATATATTTTTTACGATAATTGTAGAATTGAAGAATTGATACTTCCATCGACGTTGTTGTCTATTACGAATGTGTTTTATTTGTGTGTTCTGTAGCGTTAAGCGCATTCGTGTGTATGTGTGTATGTGTGCGTTTGTTTATTTTACCAACATTGGACTTAAAAAAAAAAATTATAAATAGCTAACTCGAAATTTTATACGAGATTTAAATTCTCTGTTATTATTTTCCTATATTCATTATTCATTTAATGTCTTTTCTTTTTCTCTTAAACAACAATTATTATAATAAAAACTGTTATTTATCTATATATATGCAAAGTATATATATTTTATTCAAAACATTTGGTATTACAAACAATATTAAAATCATTAATTATATACTAATACACAGTGCCGGCTCTAGGGGAGGAGTTTGTATACTTGCCCTAAACTCTGTTGGTATAAGGGTGCTCTTAATTTTATGAAAAATAAAGTCTTGAACATGCTCCGTAATTCCACCTACGAAAGGGCGCTCTCCATTTTTTAATAGCCCCGAACGTCAAATTTCCTAGATTCGGCACTGCTTATAAATTTCAATCGCGTCTTTGTAACCGTTTTATTTACCAAGATATTATTTTGTGATTATTTTTGGGTTGGTAGTTATGGTTTCATTATTGTTAGCGCTTATGTATGATTATTATTATTATTATTATTATTATTATTATTGTTAGTCAAACATAGACACTTATTATATTAGCTTACCTATAATAATAATAATTATTATTATTATTATTATTATTATTATTATTATTATTATTATTGTTATTACGATTATTATAATTATAATTATTATTATTGTTACTTTAATGGTTGGCCTACACTGAACATACACGAAGTGTAGTTCGCATAAGGTAAACCGAAAACGCAGTTTTTTTCGTAGTCATTTCCATGTACCACTGTATTGTGTTATACTTAATTAATTTCTCTCGGCTTGACCATTAATCAGTGATTTTTCCATAAACCATAAGTAGGATTAGTATTTGTTTTTATTTCAGAGTATTGTAGTTATTATTTGTATAGTGTGCTTAATAGAAAATTAAACATTAAAAAACAAAAGTATTGCGTCTTTGTTTTTTGTTTTAATTTTTTTTTATTTTTTGTGAAATGTTGTGTTCATTCAATTCATTGTGTATACATATACGTTAACAGTCGATAAAAATAAATTAATTGATTATATTAATTCTAAAAATTAGTTAATCAATCATTTTAGGTTCATAAAAAAGTATTTTATAAAATAAATTTAACATTTAATTAAACATTTACCAAATACTAATACGAACTATTTAAAATCACATTTTGAAAACCTATCAATTATTCATAAATTATTCTTTACTACAAATACCTCATCGTGGTTTGCCATTCAACTAGACTCGGGATACTTACTGTAGAAACATAAAAGTTCTATTTTAAGTGATTTATGGTGATGTTATAATATAATTAGCGTTTTTGCATTCATAATCCAGTTTTAATATTGTTCTATTACATTCTAATTTGTCGAAAAAGAAAAAATATGGAAAAAATAATAACAAAGGGTCGGGAAATACATTTATTACTCATTATTTAATCAATAGGAAGAAGATTAAAAAACTTATGCAATTTTTTCTACCCAAAAAACATTAAGAAAATACAATAAAAATGTTTGACGATGGAAATGATAAAATATATCATTTTAAAACCAACACTACTTTCATTACTTGGAATTTAAAATACAATAAGATAATTTATTTTCCTATTAGTTTAAAATAAAATAATATTATTAATGAATTAATATTTAAAAATATTACTGTTTTTATCATTATTAACTCTAATTATTAGGACTATTATCAATGTTTACATCATCACATTCTATTATTATAATATTTTAACAAAAAGTTACTATATAATAAAAATACTGTATTTTTTATTTTTATTTTTATCAGAGCGAAGTAGTTCCACTTATCTATGAATATCTTATAAAAATCAGTTAATAATATTAAAATAGATTTAAAAATTACATTCAAATAAGTATAAAAATGTATTTTATTCATCATTTATAAAATATAATACTTAATAAATGTTACAATAGGTATTAAAATATTACTTATTACAATATGACGTTTTGAATTATAAATGTATAATATAAAAAATTATAAAATATATGGTTTTATATTATGAGTCGGACGATAAATGTAAAATGTATTAGGATTACAAAAATAATATATTTTTTTGCAAGAACATTTTATTAAAATTACATCAAGAGTTTCATACAAAATTTTATTAGCTAGGAAATTTGACACAGCACTTAGAAAGGTTAACTTTTTATTTTCTTTGTAATTTCTCTAAATGCTATGAAAACTTCATAAAAAAAATAAAAAAATAAAAAACTGAAGGATGAGAAATATCTCCAATCAAGTACGGTACTTTCTTCTTTTAAGTTTATTTTTATTAAATAAGTGATATAAAGTATATATAAGTTATAAGACTTTAAATTGTATTTCAATTTTTTCAAATTTTTTGTAAAATAATTTATGACGACTATAAAAAAATAATCTTCGGTTACACATGCATACATTTTTATCAATTTAATAACTGAAATTAAAGAGGATTCAAATTTTACATTTATATTACTTATTGAGATTATATTACCGACAATGTGCGTCATGAAAAACAATTAAAAAAATTAATTTTGTTGCTTTGATATACTAATAGGAGTATATACAATACAATACGTTCCTATAGTATATTTTGTGTTGTTTATAAATCTTAAAAATAATTACACTTGTGATCATGGTGTAGTTGACAAAAATGTAAGACCTTTAAGTTTAGTATACTGTATAATACTGTATAATTAAACACTTATTGACCTTGGTGGCTAGATTTGTACAGTCTATATTCGTGTTTGAAATCATAAATTGAATTGCGTTACTTATAATTCCTTCAAAAAAATAACATATCTCAAAATGTAGGTAGGCATACCTTTTTTTTTTGAACAATGTAATTAGAATAAATCTGTAGCACTTATAAATAAATTTGAGTTAATTTCTTAGACTAAAATCAAATTAAAAACATTATTGTGTACCTTTTTTGTATTACAACCTATTTGTACCCAATCAATTTAATATACATTTAAAAAATCGTAGTATTCGTTTTTTTACATAATGACTCGTGAACTGCTACAAACCGAAATTTAAATTTAATTTTGATATTTTTAAATGTATAAAGCACATTTTATTTAAACGTATTTTGTATTTTAATAAACCATTATACCTATTTATTTTAAACATAAGTACCTACAGTGTTTTGTTTATGTGCCGTAGGCATTGTTATTACATTTTGACAGGTTTGACTTTGGCTCAAAACATATAGGTACATTTATCTAACAAGAAAACTGAAAAACTAAGATGATAAGAACGCGATTACTGTATTATGTACATATTATAAGAAATGTATGCTTACGACGTTTAATCAGCTAAAATAAGCAAAAACATGATATTAACATAATATATAATTCAGGCAAATTAAAAAAAATAACAGAAAAGAAAGCTGGAAAGTTGAATTTTAGTTCACATCTAGCGTGAAGAGGGTTCTTTGTAACAAACTAAAAGTCCCCTATAATCGGCTAGAGCGCAAGGCCTAAGCAACAAAATAAAATAATATAATTCAGAAAATCTTTATTAAAAAATCCAATGAGATAATTAGTAGCTTCGGTGCATCAATTTCATCAGTAAAATACCCAATGGCGCAACTAAGAAGGAGGGTATGGGGGTTGTGATCCAACCTCTCGAAATATGTAATGAACTCAACCTTACCTCATTTTACAAAAAAAACACTTTCCAAATTTATTTTATTTATTTTATTGATACCCCTGCCCCACAAAATAAATCCTGATTTCACCACTGCGTTTACTAATCATTTGAAAATAATACGATGGATTGTAGTACTCAAAAACTATTATGAAAGCAATTTGGTATAACAAAACATATTTGTATAACATTTTTTTCAAAATTTAATTGCTATTCAAAAATCTCGATATTTAAACAGAAAACTCCATAATTATTTGATCCTGGCATATTTTAAAAATAGCCTCATTAAAAAATTAAATGTATGGATGAAAATAATTTTTCATGCAATATTTGAAACTAAAAACCGGTCGAATTAAAAAATACACATTATGCACTGGGAACATGCGTGGATAAAAATCACGAAATCTGCCTATTTTTGGTAGTTGTTAAGTTGATAAATATTTATACTTATGTAAGACTAATATACTAGAGAAGTTGCTCTTTCCAGCGAACTAAAAAAGTTTAGAAAAGCGTTAGAAAATTATATTTTAATGAAATCTAGTGTTTCCGTGAAAAAATCCAAAATTGTTAAAAATTTACACCATCTTTAAAGAAAATCCATGTAAATATTTAGTGAATATTTCAAGTTCCTTACAAAAAGAAAAATCGATGTTGGCAGTCAAAATATGGACGTTTTTTTTGCAATTTTTCATTACTTTTCCAAAATTATTGGTAAAACTGTTAAGAAATTTAAAACATGAACTCTCTAGTCTCCAATGAACCAACTAGACAACTTTTGTTATCGAAAACAAATCTTAAAGTTATTAATGGGATAATTTTTACTAGGATATATGACATACACAAAAACTAAATATAATTTTCTAACGCTTATAACATTTTTTTGCTCTGCTCCGGTAAACTTTTTTGGTTTGCTGGAAAGAGCAACTTCTCGAGTACATTATACATTTTAAGTCTTACATAAGTATACGTATTGGAATGTTTATCAACTTTACAACTACCATAAATAGGCAGATTTTGTGATTTTTATCAACA